AGTGTTCTTCTATGAGATCTGATCTATGAAAGGAGCTGAAACATGGAGTAGGACTGACCCATAAAATGTGAGACAGCTGAGGAAGTTAACCAGTAAACAGAATACCTGCTCCAGTAGCAGAAATCTTACAGAAACTGACAATCACTCATCTGCAGTGACTGATTTAAAAGGTTGAGCAAGAAAATGTGAAGTTAAAGGAAACATCCTTTGTCCCAAGGCCAGTTTAAGTATCATTATCAATCAATCAACCTTTATTTATACAGGTAAATCCCATTGAGCCTCGAGGACTCATTTACAAGAGAGACCTGATTTCAACGAAAAAAGATGACAACAATGGACAACAGCAACAAATTAATATTAAAGCTTAATTAATATTTTGGTTACTTTATTTTTCTTTCTTTACGAATGGATTGTAACTATTTTCACATTTTTCAACAACCAAAATGGATTTTGTTTTTTAATGTAATGGCTAGGTTATCAAAAACAAACATTTAGACCTCCCCACTACCCAGTTATGTTGCTCTTATTTTGAAATGTAACTGGAAGTTCTGTGTTCAGAGAGGCGGAAAGAGAAGTTATGGAGACGCCGCTAATGTTGAACCGGTTAACACCATAGCTATAATATGTCTGTGGTTAACACAAAGGTTTTTTTTTTTCATTCAGCCTTTTTTTTTTGTCCAATCAGATGTGGCCCTCCGGACACGCCTATTTTTATATAGTCCAATTAGATGTGGCCTGCCAGACACGCCCATTTTCCTATAGTCCAATCAGATGTGGCCCCCCGGATACGCCTATTTTTCTATCTTCCAATCAGATGTGGCCCCCCAGATACATCTTCCGAATTTGTCTGCAGAGATACCTTCTTGAGTTTAGCTTTGATTAGTTCAGCTAACCGGAAACCACCTGACTTGTTATTTATTAACGAGTTTATTGAAATGTGGCCCTTTATTATTTAATTTGCACTTTAATATGTTTTATAACTCATTTAGTTGCATTTGCCTCTTTAAGTTAAATCTCGTGGGGTTTTTATATTATTATTAAACTATAATGCATAACAAAATGTTGATATGGCAACAATTGGGAGTAAACATGTGCACTAATTTGCTTAATTTAATAGATCTAAAATAAAAATTATTGTAACATTTAACCCATTTTAAACTTTTTTTTTAGTCGTCTTTCCTGCAAACTCAAATTTTTGTCTTCTAATTTATCATTTTAAGATTGAATTTAAAAAACAAACACACAAATTTTAGTAGGATAAATGAACTCTAAGAAGAAAATTTACAATAAAATTTTCAGTGGCCCACTAAAAGGATTGGATTTTGCACAGAGATTTAGAGGTAAATAATTCATGAATCAAGCCATGCCCAAAAACAACAAACATTTTAGGTATAAAGTGTTTCTAAACCTGAGGATGTTTGAGGAATTTGATAAAGGAAAACTCCTAAAAATGCAAAGGTGATTAAACGCATCACAATTAAACTTGTTTTCATTCAACCTTTATACAGGTTTATCCCCTTGAGCCTTGGGGACTCGTTTACAAGAGAGACCTGATTTTAACAGAGTGATGACAACAGTAGACAATCATCAAAAGCATATAGAAGTACAAATGAAAGAAAATGGTAATAAAAAAATGAAACAAGAACAGCTAGATTGTAAAGTGATGTAGAATACTATAAAAAGGAACATGTCTGCATTGTTTTTTCCCATGAACTTAACAGATGTTTGAAGGCACTTAGAGAGGTCAAGGTTGAGAGCTTCAGATCTTTTTGCAAGATATTCCAGGAAACAAGAGCGGAGTAGGAGAAGGCCGTTTTGCCAAGTTCAGTCTGCACTGAGGGAACACTGCAGGTAATAATGTCCTGAGAGTGCACGCTGTAGCTGCACTCACACAGTGACATGTAGGAGGAGATGTATGAAGGCAGCAGACCAAGAAGTGATTTAAAGATGAAAATGTACCATTGAGAGAGTCTGTGTGAAGTTAATGATGACTAGTCAACCAGTGAATACAGGGTGCAGTGGTGGGTACAGTAATTACAGCCAGTTATGAATCTTAGCGCACCGTGATAGACACCGTCCAACATCTGCAGGGTTCTTTTAGGGGTGTTCATGTCAATAATGTACAAAATAATTTTTTGTAGCATTTAGAAAATAAAATGCAAGGATTTATTTCTCACACAATTTAAAACATTAGCAAAAAAAAATAAATCATTAAAACTTCCTTAGCAGATTGCTAACATTAAGACAAATGACTTGAATTACCCTGTATCATTTTTCCACTTGACTACCTGCACTACCCCACTCACCCAGCACACACACTTTTTGTCCCGCTTCCCCCAGGCAGCAGGTTGAGGAGCATTAAGTGTAGAACCACTAGACTGAGGAACAGCTTCTACCCTGAGGCTGTTAGACTCATGAATCCCTAAACAGGATTATCACTGTGAAAAAATAAAAATCACAGTAATGCCACTTTGATTATTGATATATGCTGCTGATTATCCATGTTACTGATCTTATGCTGTTGGTTTATTTCACGCTGCTGCGTTCATTCGTCCTCATCTGCTCACACAGACTCATGTTCGTGCTGCTGTTGTTCGGCATATTGCTTTTGCACTATTAGGGTTTAGCGTATTTCTTAGTTTATATCTTAGATCCTTATTACTGTTTCTTTTTATAATTTATATTTTTGCTATTGGGACCTTACCCTGAGTACACAATTTTGTTCCACCTCATGTACCAAAAGTGATGCGAATGATAATAAAACATACTTGACTTTACTTATTAAGTACACACTTTTGACATAAATATTGATAAAGTGAAGTTGGACTTTTCCATCCCTACAACAGTCTCACTTCTTCCAAACGCCTCACCTACACAGCCTCCCAACTCACTAACAGGCTGGCCCACTGTCAATCACAGTAACACATTATACATTATGTTTATGTGGATTATTGAGCATGCATCAGGACATTATACATTAATTTTAATCAAAAATAAATATATTCTATATATGCATATTACTTAAGACGGAACAAACACACCAACCCCCCCCCCCCCCCCCCACCCCCAAATGGTCTCCAGCTGAAAGTACTTGGGTGTGTTTTTCTTTTACAATTTATACATTTGTTGGATGTAACTGGGACCCTGTGTACACAATTTCATTCCATCACATGTATCACATGTGATGAGAATCAAGAACCTTGACTTGACTTAATATTAGAACAAAAGACAGCAATGAGCTACATTAATCAACAAAACGAAACACCTGGACAAATTTATCTCAAGTATTTCTTATTATTAGTATTTAGTCTGGTCCAGTAAAAAAAAATACATAGAGCTGGATAAAAATAGTACTGCATCCTACGGATGCACGATATTGGATTTTTGGCCAATATCCGATATGCCGATATGTTAAAACTTATTTGGCCAATACCGATATTTTATACGTTCCTTTGTCAGAACATAGCCCTCTCTCTTATTTAGGCTTATTTGCTACAAAAATTGTGCAACAGCTGTAAGAGCTGGTGACATATATTCACTAACAGATATATGCATAGCACTTTAACTTATTTTAAATGAAAAGTGTTAAATGTTATTTATTAGCATTAGTCACCTGCAATGCTGTCTCACTTGTGGAGGCTTGTTCCTGGTTCCTAGCTGCAGTGTGGGATCCTCTGCACTCCTGTGCACGAAGGACAGACTTTTTACGTTCAAAGTTTTTGTCTATCCCTAAGACTAATCATGCTAACGGGGCTAACACGACGTCCACATGTCTGTGGTAAAACTCACCCAACAAGTCGTGCTATCGGCTGTTAGCTTCTCAATGACGTCGGAAATGACGGCTGGTTACTCGGGTAACGTTACGTCGGAAAAATATCTCAGACTGTGGACGATGTAGCGAGGCTCAGTGTAGTCCATAAAACTTTGGAATCTGACATCCTCACCAATGAAAAATAAAACTTCCACACCGACGACGTATGAATTTTCCTCTCCGCCGTGAGATTGGGTAGGTGCATGTGACGTCATCGCGTTGTGCTGCCTCTGCAACGTGATGACGTTGTGCTGCCTCTGCAACGTGATAACGTTGTGCTGCCGCTGCAGGTAAAAACAGCGTCTTTTATATCAGCGAGTTATTTTAATGGAATGGCCAGTGTCCGATATTGAACTTTAATGCTAATATCGGCCGATACTGTTACCATGCCGATAATACCGTGCATCCCTACTGCATCCAGCCACACAGGGCTCTCATCCTCTGTGGCTTCAACTTCAGGCATCTGGTCCTGTGTCTCATTAGAATGTGATGTTATGTACGCAGATCTGATTAGCTTCAAATAAACAAAAATATTGTAGAATGTACTCCCACATGAGTGTTTTGAGTTGTTCCTCTCAACTAATCTGGAAATATAAGTTGTAACTAAAGTTCTTTTTTTATTTGGCTTATAGATATTCATAAAATTGGCAGTTTTTTTTTTTTTTTTCTGGTTTTGTCTTCAAGTATTTGATGCGCTTTCAGTAAAAATAATCAAACATTAATAATGATGTGCAGAGTAACTCAAGAAAACCTGCATTACAAAAGCTGTTATTAGAGTACAGTTTTCCTTAAATATGCTATGTTTCTTCATGCAGAGGAATCTCTGTTAAAGAGTCTGTGAGCTACACCAGTTACACTCGGAAACTTGTGAGGTTGGGATTGAGGTTAGGATTCTGGGTGGGAGTCAGACTCTAACCATGTGGAAGGGGGGAGTCTCCGGAAGGGGATATTTGTATGTTTCCTGCAAACAGAGCTTTCTTTAGTCGGGCTATTGTTAAATCTGGCTGAGAAAAACTGCTCGGAGGCTGACTTTGGTTCAGCGTTCCAGTGTTTGTGTGAGTGCAGTTAAAGTTTCTGTGACGGGGAGGGACCACTCGTTAACCTAATTTAAATCTAGTACATAGACCGCTGCCTGTACGACAATGAGCTTTACTGAGAAGGTCACTGAATTATTCTTATTTTTATAATCATGAGCCTGTTTTTGGTTAAGAATGCGTTTGCCAGCAGTGATGAGATTACCATGCTTATCTATTCCAGGGTTTGACTTGTTTTTATTTGCGTTGTTTCTTTTTTTATTTCAGTCGGGAAAGTCTTGGATTGAAGAAACCTTCTTCCAAAGGGAGTGCGTAAAGTTTATCCCCTCCTCTCGGGACCTCCACAGGTAAACTGGGATCTGATAGCAGTGATGAGCTTCCAGAAACTGTCGGAAGTGCAATTTTTTTTAATGATTCCTAGAAGACTGTTTTGTTTCTTTATTTATAGAGTGTAACATTACAAGCAGTGGCTGGAAATAAAACTGTTTTGAGAACAGTGCTTTCCGGCAGTCGGGCTTCTCTTCCAAGAGCAGGCAACATGCGAATTATTTGATCATTTTTGATTTCCTGTTTCTTACAGATGTATTCCAGTTTGTCAAGTATGCCAGAATCTGATCAGGTACTACTTGTGAATTTTTCATTATTGTCAAACGGACACACTGCCCTACTGCTCTCTTGAAGTCTTTTCTTCAATGTTGTGAAAATTCCTCACCCTCTTTTTTTTAACTAACCCCCCCCCCACACACACACACACACATATTCTCAGTTGTAATTCCAGTGCAGTTTCAAAATGAGCAAATGATTAACTGTGTAGAATATTAATGAGATAACTACAGAGATAGTGGCGGCACAGTGGCGCAATTGGTGGAGCTGTTGCCTCTCAACGAGAAGGTTGCTGGATTAAATCCCCTTCTGGGTGGAGTTTGCATGTTCTCTCCATGCATGTGTGGGTTTTCCCCCTACAGACCAAAAACATGCATGTTATGCTCATTAGTAACTCCCTAGGTTTAAGTGAGAGTTTGAATGTTTGTTTTGTCTCATTTGGATCTATGATGGACTTGTGTCCAGGTGTCCCCCACCCAGGGCTTAATTGGTGAACTGATTGATGTTGGAACAGCGCCCGGGGGGGGGGGGGGGGGGGGGTGCGGTCTGGGGGGGTCCTCCCACCAAAAATTTTGAACAACAGATGTCATTTCCTGCATTTTGGTGTATTTTAACAGGTTGTTGAACATCTACATTCACAAACACTTGATTAAATTACTATTTTAGAGAGCAACAGCAGGTTGTGTGTGAATAGAGCAGCTCCGATTCTGTCGGGTGTCCTAGCCCCCACCCCTTACTTCACAGTTCTGAGCTTAACTCTTTTCTGCTGAATTCAGTCCTGGTTGTTGCTCCTGCTCCAATCTGAAGTGGCACCTTTTGAAGAACCTGAAGGCTTCAATTCTCGGTTGTCCTGCTAAGGACAATCCATCCATCTATTTTATGAAATTGGACTGTCTTTTTGACATTATTGATCGCAGTTGTTTTGACAAATTAGCACTGTTGTTTTGAAACGTGATGTACCAGTAATGTGAATTTTTTTTTTACTATAAACTTTTTTTTATTTGTTATATCTGAAATGTAGCAGGAGTTCAGACACATCAGCAATTGTGCTCTATGGAACACCAAAATACTCGAAATTAAATAAATAAATAAAAGTAAAATATGTTATTTATAAGGTGGCACAGCAGTGCAGTGTTTGCCGCCTCTCGGTGACAAGGTTGCAGGTTTGTTTCCTGATCTTTCTGTGTGGAGTTTGCAGGTTCTCTGGGTTTTCTCCAGGCACTCCAGAATCCTCCCTCTGACCCAAAACATGCACGTAAGGCTAAATTTTCACTAGGTGTGTGTGAAAGTGGGAATGACTGTTTGTCTTGTTTGGCCCTGTGGTGGACTTGTATCCTGTCCAGGGTTCAGCCCACGTCTCACACGGTGACTGTTGGATGTAGGCACCAGTTACTTGCATCCCACTAAAGGAGCAGGAAAAGAAAATGAATGGATGGATGCTTGGGTTAGTTTTTACCTAATTCCAAATTTAGGTCATAATTTGATGATTTTTAAAATTATATTTGTATGCCTAAAACCTTAAAAACCTTAAATAACTGACTACAAGTATTTTATTGACATGTCTGACTGCTCAACTCTGAATGAATTTTTTTTAGTACAATGTTTCTCAAACAGAACTTGTGTTGCAGCCAGTGCTTTGTTTGAGCCGGATCCTGCTGGAACAAAATCCGGGAACTCTCATTTTGACCGGGTGCGTTCCGGCAACTGTTTGCTCGGATCCGGCAACTCAAATCTCCCGCCCGTAAAAGTCCAAAGTCATAGCACATTTTTATTTTGATTATTTATTAAAAATACAAAGAGAGGAGACGTTGCCCAGTCTGTGGAGTAGATATTACATCTGCAGCAGGCGCACCAGCTCCTGCCCAGCAGAGACGTGGACAGCATGTCCCGCGAGGATGAAGTGTCTTCATTAATATGGCAAGCCAAGTGGCCCATTAATAGCAGATGTGGTAAAGGTGGCTATTAATGGGCTACTTGGGTTGCCATACCTTACGCACAGTAGCATCTCCAGACAGCTCTGAGCGCGCACAACTGCTGATGTGAACTCACGCATACGTTTCAGACATAATAAATAAAAAAAGCTTAACTACCGTAAAAAAATACAAGAGAAATGTTTGATGTGTGTTATTCACATTAATCACAGATCAAAACACCGACGCTAATTTGTCAAATTAACAGCGATCAAAATGTCAAGAAGACAGTCCAGTTTACTTAAATAAAATAAATGGATGGATGAATTAGTTACCTTAGTTGGACAACTGAAAAGGCCGTCGTAATTGAGATTGGAGCAGCAGGAGCAACAACGAGCAGGAATGAATTCAGCAGAGAAGAGTTCAGCTCAGAAACATGAAGGGGGGGTAGGATGCTTGACAGAATCGAAGCAGCTCTATTCACACAACCTGCTGTTGCTCTCTAAAATAGTATTTAATCAAGTGTTTACAAGTTAAACAAAGATGTTTAACAACCTGTTAAAACAGGCTACACCAAAATGCAGGAAATATCATCAAAAATATTCAAAAATTGAAGGGGGGAGGAGCACCTGCAAGCTCCTTCCACCCCCCACCCCCCCGGACAGCCCACTATTTGTGTTCTGGCATCGATCTGTTTACAAATTAAATCGTGGTTGCAGCCCTCCATCAAATTATCTGAACCCTCCATTGATTTCTTTCTGTTGGTTAGATGCTGTTGTGGCCGCCTGATCGGGGAGCACTCCTGGCAGGAGTCTGTTCCTCCAATATCCCTCTATCCTGGCCCTGGACATGGCATGGAAGAGAACTGGTCCATGGGAGTCCATACCAAGGCCAGTCCCACCAACGCCTATGGGATCATCGACTTTCAAGATACAGCCACACGTGTCTGTCGGGCCAAGGTCTGTGACTTCACTGGCTGCATGTGTGTCAATTGTTCAAAGGAAAAAACATGTTGGATTGATTTACAAGGAATTTCTTTTTTTTTTCTTAGCAACGATTTCCTCAAAAACAAAGTTACAGTAGGTGATTTCCTCAGAGTGAAGGCAGCCGTCTAACTTTTGATGCTTGTACAAACTTTGCTGTGATGTAAGCAGACTTTATCAAGACATATGAAAGCAAAGATGCTATCTACAATAGTGACAAAACAATCACATGAGCAACGCTTGGGGGTAAAAAGCTCACAGACAGGTCTCAAACAGTGCCATGTTCTTCCAGTATGTCCGGGTGGCTGTGGACTCCAAGCCCGAGATGATACTCCAACTGATGCTGAGGGAATGGCAGATGGAGAGACCCAAGCTGCTGCTGACTGTACAGGGAGGCTCCGACAACTTTATCTTGCCTCCGAAAGTTCAGCAGGCCTTTAGCAAGGGGCTGATCACTGCTGCTCTTAGCACAGGGGCATGGATTCTAACTGATGGCATTAATACAGGTACGTATAGAAAAACTTCAGTTCATCTACATGAATTAAGATTCCTTAAAATCTTCCACTTAGGTACATCTGCATAATTAAGTAATACAATTTAATTTGAGTTGTACGGAAATTTATGCATGCTATGATGTTGGAAAAGTATCTTTTAAGTTCTTTTATGTTCAGATTTCCTTTTAAATCTATTAGGCATGTCTGAATTTCTGTGCATTTCATCTGTCTTTACGTGCCCTCTAGGTGTGTCTAAGCATGTAGGTGATGCAGTAAAAATATTTGGAGGTCACAACCTGAGGAAGAGAAACACAATTGGCATCACACCGTGGGGAATGATTGACAACAACACGGACCTCATAGGCAGAGATGTCAGTACTAAAACTGTGTTTCTTGCTTTATTACCAATAAAGCACCAAATAACACGCTTCCAACATGCTAGATCTCTGTGCATTATTTTACAACGACGGTTGCTTCTTTGTGTGACTTTGGTTCAGGTTTTCAGACCTTACCAGCCGCTGGGGAACCCCTTGAGCAAAAAGGCCTGTCTTAATGGTTTCCACTCCCACTTTCTGTTGGTGGATGATGGGACGCTGGGAAAACCTGGCTGTCAGCAAGGCCTCAGGAGGAAACTAGAGAAACACATTCAGCTCCAGAAGATTCATCCTCGTGAGTCTGTGTAAATTACGTGCAGAAAGCACAGGGAGTCAAAAGATCTGATGTTATGTTCATTGTAAAAATACAAACAACTTCTTTCAGCTTGAAGGTTTTACAACGATCTGTGTGCAGTCCTAATGTATGGAAATGCATGGAACTTTCTTTTAGTATTTTCCTTGTTTAAAAAAGTTAATTTAATGTGTTTTTTCGGAAACATATACTGCACATAACTTGACAATCCTACCTCAAATGTGCAGCAGGCGCTAAATAATTTAAAATAATTTATTTTAAATAAAAATTTCATTTTGATCGTGCGGCTCATCCATCAATCAGGCAATTGTGTGTCATGTCCACTTTTATTTTGAAAAACCGCGATAGAGCGAGTCCGTGATAAACCCCAAAGTAGCGAGGGACTACTGTATTTTGTGTTTTGATCATACAGATGGTAAAGCCTGACCACTGTATAAGTATTTATTGTAGACATACTGTAAATAGTTGAACTCAGACGTGACAAAAATTGAGCGAAAAAATATAAAATTTTATGTCTAGAAATGTCTGGAATTTTGACATGAAAAACATGCATTGATCCTTTTTGTTATCTATTTGGGGGAAACTATTATAAGACTTGTCTTAATTTTGGTAACTAAAAATGACAGCATAATTTATCTTTTTTTTGTTTGTTTATTTGAAGTTACATTGATTTAATTTCTAATGTTTTTTTGTTACTTCATCTTGATCCATTAACTGAAAGATGGCATTCTTGCTTGTCACCAGACGTTGTTTCATTATTTCCTCTTTTCTTTGTAGGACTGAACCAAGGAGTGCCTGTGGTGTGTGTGGTGGTAGAGGGAGGTCCTGCCATTGTCTCAACAGTGTTGGACTATGTCAGCAGTGTGCCCCCTGTGCCTGTGTTTGTGTTTGAAGGATCAGGCAAAGCTGCAGACCTGCTTGCCTTCTTACACAAGCAAACTGCTAATAACAGGTATGAAGGTAGCTGTTAGTGCTTATCTTCATAAGAACATCATATGGATTCACATTTTGTGCAACAGAAGTTAAACAATCATTTTATGGTGGGTTGATAGTGTTTGTATAAAAGGATGGGAAGAATTGTCATAAATTTAACTTGGTCAGGTAGAAGTTAAGATGTTATCAACTTCATCGATGTGATCAGGTTTATTATCGAAGGCGGGACAAATTATGGTTTAGTTTCTGTACGTCCGTACGTCTTTAAACTTTCTCTTCTCCCGCCCATAACTCCTCATCTGCTCAAGATAATTTAACAAAACTTCATATACATATGTGTCATCATTAGACGTAGTGTCACATAAATTTTCATCACCCCAGCTTCAAGGTCAAAGTCACAAATCAAGGTCACATGTTATAAAAAAAAGAATTTACTTCTCTGAGTCATTGCTGTAGATTGCTGTATTGCCATATAATAGTTTGTAGATAGGTGTATAACATGCCGTATGCAGTACTTTTGTTGAGTAACGTGAAAAATGGAGGCACAGTTGTATATATATATATATATTTTTTTTTTTTACAAAAATATTTACATGGTACAGTTATAAATTAAGAAAGTAACTTGATTATTATTTTTTTAATTCCTCACATATACTGTCACACCATTCTACTAGTTTATGACCCCAGATTGAATTGTTGGAGGAGTTTGCAATCTTACCCAAGAGTATTTAGTAGTTTGTTTTTACAGGAGGAAGAAATTTAGTCAGTCTTAACAAATGGCACCCAACTGGAAGCTAAATTACCAAATAAGTCAAAGGTGCAGGATCCTAACTTGTAAAAATTTGACTTTGAATACTAACTCTGCTTCCAGGGAGTTGGACGCTGACATCAAAGAGGACTTTCTTGTTAGAATTGGCGATGTGCTGGGAGTTGAACGGACCGAAGCCGCTAACCTTTACAGCCTCCTCCAGCAGTGTATGGACCACAGATCGTCTGTGAGTAAATGCTGTTAGAGGAAGCATTTGTTGCGCTTAAAGACAGACACTATTCAATATTTCTGAACCAACAGATAACCATCTTTGACTCTGAGTCAGAGGACCAGACGGCACCAGATGCAGCCATTTTAACTTCTACTCTTAAGGGTACTTGTTTAGTCTTTTTGCCTTCCTAACAAAACAGTTGAGTGTAACAAACAATTAAAGTAAAACAGAAACCAACAACAAAGTTTTAGGTTAGGAAAAAAGTGTGTTAATCTAGCAATGGAGTAATTATTATTGTTATTATTATTATTATTATTAATAAACATAAACAGGAACAAGGGCGAGTCCAGCTGAGCAGCTGAGTATGGCTCTGGCTTGGGACCGGGCTGACATCGCACAGAAAGACGTCCTGGTGTACGGGCAGCACTGGCCGGTGAGACTGGCCGAGCTGCGCAGCAATTATCTGCTGTTCTTCATCGTTTTGACTGTAGTCACAAAAATGTTCCTTATGTAGGTGGGGTCCCTGGAACAAGCCATGCTGGATTCTCTGGTGATGGACCGTGTCAGTTTTGTCAAACTGCTGATCGATAACGGCCTGACGATGAGCTGCTTTCTCACCGTAGATCGCCTTGAGGAGCTCTACAACACTGTAATTATATTCACTTATAACTTTAATACACCTTTGATTGTTTATTCTATTCATGCACAACACCCCCCACCCCCCCATATCTCCCTCAGTGGTAAACAAATAGAGGAAATTCAGTCTTTTTACTTGGTTCTCTTAAAGTACACATTTTAAAATATTAACTTTGATTTATATCAGAGTAATGTTCTGTAAGTGTTTCGCATCAAGATGTGTTTTGTGGTCATCTGCATCCAGAACGTTTTCCCAGTTGATTTTTTTTTTGTATGCTTTTGAAATCAAAAAGCTTTTTTGCCAAAAATTCACACTGGGCTTTCTCCACGCTGCCTTTATCTTTTTATGTCTTATAGTCTGAATAATTTACAGCTCTCAGATTTTAAGTGCCTTCCAGAAACATGTTCATGTCCACAGAGCTTCTGCTATCTGTACAATGTGCACTTGCTAGTGTGAAATGTGCAGTTGATTTTTGTTTTATTTCATTTTGATTTATCTTTTTCCCCCTTTTCCCTGTCTTTTTTGAGTAAAACAATGCAAATATTTTTTCTCCAGCACCAGGGTCAGACTCAACGGTTTCTGCACCACCTTGTCGAGGATGCTAAACAGGTCAGCAGATTTCACATTTTATTAGCATCGTTGCTGGTCAGTGTGTGTCTTATCCCAGACCCCAGGCCCACCTCCAGCTCTGGAGGCACCCGGTTTGGACCTCCCTCAGAAATAGTACCTCACACTATCTCAATAAATCAAGGAAATTGTGAATTCAGTTTTACCAATTACAGCGCTGGCCTCCGATACACGACGCGAGATCCTGGATCGGAAGGGCTGGATGTCACATGGCATTACAAATATATAGGGCCTAGACTCCTCCTTCGTAGAGGGGAGCACAGCCTATCACGTGGATAAGGGGCCGGATGGCGGACTAAGTGTGATCTCATGGATCTTATGTGGTCTGACTTGTCAGGAAAAATGATACAGTGCAGGAAAAAACCTTTCTACGTGATGCAGTGAGTCAATATAAGAAAATAACAAACAAATAAAAAAACTAAATTCCTTGACGAATATTGAATTCCTGGGAGACTCTTTTTAGAGTTGCTGGCCTCGTTTAAACCTGTCAGAACCAGTTCATAATTTCATTATAATCCGTCTCTGAGTATATATAAAAAAAAAAACAGAGTGAGTCTAAATAAAAATACTAACAGCATATTGAATTAAATTTACTTCAATGCAGTCCAGTTCACTTATCTATATAAGGATGGGCGGCCATTTGACTTGTCTGACCAGAGAAATAAAGGACAGGAACGAGACACAGACAAACACAAAATGGCTGGTCCAGATGTAGTTTCTTTGGGGAGAAAGACAAAGAAACACTAACATGAACAGTCACATGGGTAAAGGCTGCAGTAGAGTGAGGAGATGTTGTTAGTTTCCTCCAGCAGTCTGTCTATAGCAGCATAACTAAACAATAACTTAGGAAACCCAAGCCGACCCTAACTATAGGATTGATCAAAAAGGAAAGACTTGAGCCTAAACTTAAAACTGGACAATGTGTCAGCCTCACGGACAGAAACTGGAAGTTGGTTCCACAAGAGAGGAGACTGATAACTGAAAGATCTTCCTCCCATTCTGCTTTTGGAAACTCTAGAAACCACAAGTAAGCCTGCAGTCTGAACAATAAGATCTGTAATATAAAATGGAGCTAGGTTGTTGAGAGCTTTGTAGGTTAGAAGTAAGATTTTGAATTCAAATCTGAATTTGACAGGAAGCCAATGGAGAGAAGCTAAAACTGGAGATATTTATGTTATTAGTGGCCATATTCACATGTATATTTACTGTATTTGTGCATGTAGACATCTCTTCCCCTTGGATACCGTGTTTCGCTCATTGACATGGGTATGGCGATCGAATACCTTATAGGCGGAGCTTATCAAAGCACCTACACACGGAAAAACTTCAGAGCTGCCTACAGCCGCCTGCAGAACAAAGTGAGCTCAAATATTTAGTACTCAGCTGAGTTTTTGACACTTTGTTTTGACATCCTGCTAAATGCTTGGCTGTGAAGTGTTCTCTGAAATGTTTCCTTTTTGTTTGTAGGAGGGTCGGTGGGAGAGCTCGAGCTTTTTTTCCAAACAAAGACTGAGCACAAAGAAGAGCAGAAGCCTCCAAGATCTACATTTCTTTAGAACAGCTCAGCCCTACAAATCCAAGGTTGTAGATGTCATCATTTATCTATTTGGAGGGAAAAAAAGTCTTGAAAACATAAACATTTAATTTTTAAAGTATACATTGTTTTATTTGAATGGGGGGAGTGGTGGCGCAGAGGTTAAAGAAGGTGTGCCTGTAATCGGAAGGTCGTTGGTTCGACTTCCTGTACCTACAACATCAAAATGTGGGTGGGAAAGGTGAAGCCACCACCCTCATTTGCCCCACTCTCAGCCTTTGGGCCCTTGAGCAAGGCCCTTAACCCCCACCATCTCCCCTGTGCACCCTAGATGGCTTCTCCCTGCTCCACACAGAGGGCTGTGGTAGCTCGGTGGTATGTGGTTGTGTCAGGAAGGGCATCCAGCGTAAAAACAATTACCAAGTCTTTGTGCGACTTAGTTCGCTGTGGTCCCTGAAGAAGGGAGCAGCTGAACTACGAAGAAAAAAAAAGATTTGCAGACTTCTCTAAGCCTTAATTTTTATGTTGTTTTTTCCCTCTGATTGTCCATTCAGGAGCAAAGTGTGCCAGCTGTGAACAGTCACAAGATGGCACCGAGTCCAGACTTTGGTGGTCCTCTGCTGCCATGTCCTTTCAACTTCAACGACCTGTTTGTGTGGGCAGTTCTTCAACAACGTCAGCAGATGGCGCTGTTCCTGTGGCAACATGGAGAGGAAGCTTTGGCACGGGCTGTTGTGGCCTGTAAGCTTTATCGCTCCATGGCCTTTGAGGCACGCCACAGCAACATGGATGACATCATGGCAGAACGATTCAAGGCCTTTTCTCTGTGAGTAACTTGGAAAAACACATCCCATAAAATAATTTTCTTTTTGCATCATATTTGACAAAACACTATTTGTCTTTGAGACGGTGACCTTAAATAATAGTGAAATACTAAACAAATGGCAGAAAATCAGTTACATAATTAGGATAAGAAATAAAGTTAGTTAGATGGCAAATGCATGTACAGCACTATATTAAGTTAATCTTTAGTTTCATGAAATAAAACGCAGCGCTTACAAAATGGAAATGTGTTGGAGTCCTCCCAGAGAGCTGACTGGAAAGAGATGTCTGGGCCTCCCTACTCAAGCTGCTGCCCATGTGACCCAACTCTGGAACAAGTGAAAGAAAATGGATGGAGGGCTTACAAAATAAGCCTAAATGATTTGAAGCTCTAGATTAATAGGTGGACCTGTCTAATTTTAATCTCCTTTGTAGTCTTTTAAGTTTTTGGTTCATGGTTATCACTTCCTAAATAGTAAGGCTGATATTTGAAACAAAATATTCTAATGTTATAAAAAATTATATTGCAAAGATTTTCACAAGTTGCCAATTTATCCAGGTTTGTTCACCATCCAGTCTGAGCCTGAAAATAGCAGGAATAAACGCTTAACTACATGTTTACAAGTAAGGAAGTTGCAGTTTGGCCTGCAGATGAGGCATGTATTTATTCTGAATTGAACAAAAGAATCAAACCTTTGCTTAGCAGCAATGGCAATGGATATGATTTGAGTAGAATACAGACACATCATCAGGTAAAACACCTGACACCAGCCACTGCACATGGAGGTGAAAGTGTTATGGTTTAGGGTTTCTTTACTGCCATAAAAACAAGGGATTCACGAGGTGTTTGTACAAGTGTCTCATTACTTTTTGTAAAAGCAATCACTTCATCCTCTTTAATCTAAAACCCAAATATATGTCAAAAAGCAAACTCTGTCCATGGAATTAGCAATTATTTTTTATACAGTATTATTATTTGAAATGATCATTTTATATGATATATTTTTGTCTATGTTTTGCCTTTTTATTTGTGGCTAGTTTTTGTCAAGTATTTCTTTTTTAATTCAACATTTTTTATTTCTGACATAATCTTGACTTAATGTGATTGTTCCTGTAAAAACCCTCTTCATTTCTTTCTCTGTGTGTCGTGTGTCAGTGAGTTTGGTCAGCTGGCAGTGGATGTATTGGACTGTGCATTTCAGCAGAACGAGCAAATGGCCATGAAACTGTTAACCTCTGAGATGGAAGCATGGAGCCACTTCACCTGTCTGCAGCTGGCCGTCTCCTCGTGCCACAGACCGTTTGTCTCACACTCCTGCACGCAGACTCTGCTCACAGATCTCTGGACTGGTCCTCTCAACATGAGAAAAAACTCATTTTTAAAGGTCAGTAATATAGAAAATGTCAAATGTTTATGTTGCATTCATCTTGATGATGTGATAGAAAGGTTTTAGATCTATACAGGCTATAAATATTACCAGCTTCAGTACTTGTTGCAACCCCCAACATGGGGTGAAATATGATTGGTGTGTTAGCCAGAAATGTGAACAATGGGTATTCACTGTTAAACCCAATCAAAGGTCAGGTGCATGCTAAAGGGTTCAGAGGTATGCTAACCTGGAAATCTTAAAAAAAAAAAGTTAAATGGTGAAATTTGAGCCGGTTTGAGGGATTTTTATGTGTTTGAACCTCAGTAAGTACCTCCTTAGAGACAAATACACTTTGATTCAGTTTTAAAAAAAAACATGTAACAGTTATGTTGGGGTGATCTGCAAAGAGCATTTACACTTAATAACTAGTATTATGGCTTTGAACTTTTGTGTTACTAAGGTTGACTTCAAAACAGCAAATGTGTTGTAAAATGCTGTCTCATTATGCAAAAGGTTTTTCAAAATTGTGCACAAAATAATTTTTAACCAAGTATATCCTACAGAATAGTTGAGCAATAAGCTGGCATTGTTTAATTGACCATTGTCTGTTCAACAACTGATGACAGGTTGTGTTTTTTTGTTGTTAAAGAGTGGAACAGAAAATGATTTTGTGATTTTTATGCTTCAGATAATTTTGAGCCTTCTTCTGCCTCCTGCCGTCTTGCTGCTGGAGTTTAAAAGCAAAGCTGAAATGTGCCATGTACCACAGAACCATGAGGCGATGCTGTTTGGACTCGAGTCTGTTAAACCTGCACCAGCTACTGAGGGATTTGATCACGTTGTAAAGTGCCGTTCTTAGTTTTGTGTTGCACTTCTCATGTCTGGCCTTCTGTTTTATTGTCTTTTCTTTCTGCCACAGGATCTTCCAGATACAGAGCGAGGTCTCTCTTTCCAGGATAAACACCGTGGTCCTGTTTCAGAAACTTTGTCCTCCATGTCTATGCACTGGCTGTCCCGGATCACAAGAGTTTATGAGTTTTACTCTGCCCCTGTTGTCAAGTTCTGGTTTCACACGGTAGGTGGAATGCACCTTTTATAGTTAGTGAAAAGTATTTTCTTCAGTTAAACAAGATACGTTTTATTTAAGGTGTGTGTTGCTGTTTCTCCATTTTCTTCCTCTCTCGATTTTAGATGTCCTACTTGGCCTTTTTGATGGTATTCTCTTATGTTGTCTTGGTGAAGATGGCAGATCAGCCAAGTGTTCAGGAGTGGCTGGTCATTGTTTACATTGGATCCACTGCACTTGAGAAAACCAGAGAGGTGAGAGGTTTTATTTTATTTTCACATTTTCATTATTTAGTTATTATTTAGTTATTTTGGCGAACTGGCATATGGGTTTAAGTGAAATATGTAAGCAGTGGCGGGCTGGCCATAAGGAGGTCTGGGAGGATTCCCGAATGACCAGTCAGTTCCAGGCCGAACCAACCAGTAGTGATCGGTACGTTTTTCTTGTAAACGCTGCTGCGCAGCAGCCCTTGTGGCCGCTGGTGGGAGTCAAACGTCACATGCAAGCAGCCCCTCCCAATTTGACAAAGAAAGAAAGGAGCGCGGGAAGAAAACATGCTAAAAGAAAGGATAAAGAGATGGGTGCAGCAGAAAACTAAGGAAAAAGAAAAGGAAAAGTTAGTGCAAGATGCAGCCAAATGCACTAAAATACCAGACATTTGGGTGTGTGTGTGTGTGGGGGGGGTGGGGGGGTGCAAAGTGAGCGTGACTAAAGTCAGCCAGGACAGTGATAACAGGACTGAGCAGCATGGAGACAGCAGGTTAGCAAGCAGTGTCTACATGGACCTATCATCCATCCCAGACTGGTGCAACAATATGATGGGCTTCCTTTAACGTTCTGTGAGCCCTGAACACATCCAGAAACCCAAACACACTACATGCCAACTCCATATGTAGGGTACATAAATCTTTAATCTGCTTTATCAACTAAAATTAAAATCAATCCACACCGACTGACCAGAAAAAGGCACGTTTATTTATTGCAAAAGAAAACATATTTCAGGAAAGAGTCTGTTTTCCTGTTGTTTCTATATTAATATAGAGCTATTTTTACCAGCCCAAGAAAAATACATTGCAGTCAGTAATTCATTTACCGTGTGTGTGTCTGTTTGTGTTGCACTTTTCTTTTGTTGTATTTGTGTTATAAAACCAAATTATTTGCAAAAGTGCTCTAAAATGTATCATTATTGCTGTTATGGTTATTACTAGCTGAAAAGGCCATTGTCAGTGGAGGAGTTGATGCAGAGGGACAAGATAATGCCAGGAGTGAGGAGGAGGAGGAGGAGAAGGAAGGGACAGATGAGGGGAGAAGGAAATGGAGATAAAAGAGGAGAGAAAGAGGTCCTGATGACTTTAGACAACAACGCAGTTATAGCCAGAGTTGCAGAGACCAGTGTACTGCTCACGTTGTTAATGGTTGAAGTTCTGACAGTCTCCTTTTTTGGGGGGGTGAAGTTATGATGTTATAGGTCTGTATACCTTTGCAGGTTGTTTTTTGTTCCTTAATATTTGCGTTGACTTTTATGATAAGCTGCTTGTTTAATAAACTTTTATGAACTGTGTTGCATTTTTATTTGTATCATTGAATACATACAAACATAAACAGTAGTTTTGATTGTTGAAAAAAAAAAAATATCCGTCATGCGATCGGATAAAAAGACTTCTCCAAAGCAATCTCCCGGGCTGAATTTTGACTTCAGCCCGCCCCTGTATGTAAGCAACTATAATGCAATTCAGTTTATTTATATATCGCCAAGTTACAACAGAAGTTGTCTCAGGACACTGAACAAAAACATTCACATGCATAAAAAGGCCAATTAGTAAAATAAGGAAGCCAGCAGATTGTGTTGAATCTTCACTTCGTCGCAGTCTCCCATCCTGAGCAAGCACAAAGGCAACAGTGGAAAGGAAAAACTCCCTTTTAACAGGAAGAAACCAGCAGAACCAGGCTCAGGACGAGCAGCCATCTGCTTCGATCGGCTGGGTTTGAGAGGACAGGAAGGAGGAACGGACACAGAATGACAGGTCCAGGTGTACTTTCTATAGGAGGAAAGACAAAAAATACGTGTTAAGATAGAAGTAATTACAAATACAAACAGTTAGAGAATATAAAATGTGATGATTTCTTGTTTCATATAATTCTATAAATTGTATATGTATATAAACCGATTCTTTCTTAGATATTAATGTCTGAGCCAAGGAAACTGAGTCAGAAGCTGAAGATTTGGTTCTCAGAGTACTGGAACGTATCAGACTTCATCGCCATCACACTTTTCCTGTTTGGGCTCTTGATGCGTTCGTTCGCTGATCCCTACCGAACCGCAGGACGCATCATTTACTGTCTGGACATCATTTTCTGGATTATCAAGGTGCTGGATCTTCTGGCTGTCAATCAGCATGCAGGTCCTTACCTCACTATGATCACTAAGATGGTGAGTAGAGTCTCTTCAAGATGGTGGAGAAGTGTGCACTCAGTCATGCCTCTCTCTTCTGTGTCCAGACCAGCAATATGTTCTTCATCGTGGTGATGATGGCGATTGTGTTGCTGAGCTTTGGCGTGTCCAGAAAAGCCATCTTGTCACCGGATGAGGAGCCATCATGGAGCCTAGCTCGAGATATAGTCTTCCAACCCTACTGGATGATCTTTGGAGAGGTCTATGCAGGAGAGATAGATGGTAGGTGATTTAGTAAAAATGCAGCCATCAGGGTAACAAAATAAACCTGATTTTTATTTTTTTAATTTTATTTACAACAACATTTAGCATCCAAAATTTAAGGTAATTTTGCACAATTTAGATGTTTTATAGACAATTGGTCTAATATTTTTTATTATAGAATACTTGATTATAGAAAAAGTGGTTTTAATTCCCCAGATCCTAGTATTTTTCTTATCTCCCACCAGATGCTCTTAGGTCATTTTATTAATTTAGTCATCTCTGACGGCCTCGTGTGATGAACGAGAAAACATCCACAGTTCTGAAAACATCTGGGGAGGGTTTTTTACAATAAAACGTATTCTTCAGTTTGATGTTACAACAATAATGACTTGTAGATGAGGTAAATTTTTTTGATTCAGAAACAATCTTTGGATCTTTTTGCTGTGTATGTGCTAACTTAAAGTCACGGAGAACTACCAGTTGAGCATTTGTGTGTTAACAGCATGTGACAATGGTGCTCCATGTCCTCCTGCGTCTTTTATCACACCGTTTCTTCAGGCTGTCTATATGTTTTTCCAGTATATCATCATGGTCAACATTCTCATTGCATTCTTCAAGTAAGCTTGTTTATTAAGAAAAACAGTCATACAGATTTATTTTGTAAACAGAGGGCTATTTAAACTGTTGTTACCTTCGTCTTGACAGCAACATTTACTTTGACATGGCATCGATATCTAACAAGCTGTGGAGGTACAACCGTTATCGCTACATAATGACGTACCAAGAAAGGCCATGGCTGCCTCCTCCTCTGATTCTTTTCAGTCACGTGGCTCTTGCCGTGGGAGGCATCTATGGGAGATTCAGACAAGATGCTGAGAGGGAGGAAACAGGCTCTGGCCTCAGTGGGTACCACAGTGTAAAAGACGAGCAGTTGTTATTCGTTCTCATCTGACAACCCTCTAATGTTACTACGTCTGTTTCACCAGAGCTCTATCTGGGCCACGAGGATCGAAAGAAGTTGTACGAGTTTGAGGAGAAATGTGTGGAGGTCTACTTTCATGAGAAGAATGAAGACGTCCACAGCAGTCAGCTGAACAGAATCGGAGCCACAGCTGAGAGGTTTGCTTGATTACTGCATCACGCCGTGCAAAATCTCACTTGTTAGCTTCTTCTTTCGATTTTCCACTTTTGTTTCAGTTGATTTTATAAATGGACAGAAAATACTGGCAGCTACAAGAGATTCTGTTAAAAGCTAAAGATGATCATATTTTGGTCTGAACGAAGGTGTCTGGGAACTGATTTAACACATAGTTGTAGCCGTTAGCGAAAGGACCAAAAGTTTATTTACAATGTTAAACGCAGTACGTAATTTTTTTAATTTAATATCCAAAATGACTTTCTTTTATGCTTTCCTTTGTTATGATTATTTGATAACGAACAAAATGGAGGGCAAAGCCTGGAAGGTGACAGACGACCAACGATTGGCAAAATGTTTGCACTAAAAAAATCAGACTTTTTGAAATAAATTGCAGATTAGTGAAGATTTTTTAAATAACTCTTATGACTCCTACTTTGATGAGTAGGCGTGCAATTGCTGTACAGCATACTATATATAGCATTAAGGCTACATCGGTGTCCTACTAACACAGTTCTTTTTTGTTTTCTTGACAGAACTGTCTCTTTTGTGTGTGTCACAAAGAACTGTAAAAGATCAGAATCAATTAGATATTCTGAGACTTTAAAATAGCAGTCATACCTTTTTCTAACGTGTGTAACATTGTTAAAGGGGACATAAACAGGCTTCAGCAGTATAAAGTTTTTTTGTTTGTTTCTCTAGAGCAAAGGAGATGTGTGCGATGGTGGAAGAGGTCTCAGAGAAGGTCAACTTTATTCAGCACAGCCTGACCGAGTTAGACTCTCAGTTGGGTCAACTCCAGGACCTTTCTGCGCTGGCTGTGGACACCTTGACTCTGCTCTCTGCTTCAGACAACCTTTGTCAGGAAGAGGCCCGTCTGGCTCAGTGTCAGCTTGTGACAGCGTCTCATCGTACCCTCCCTCATAGCTGGACCTACCTTCACAGAAGTGGGACAGACTCTGAGGGGTCTAATTTGCGGCGCATGGTGATGAAAACTTGTAAAAGCACCCCACCTTCATTGCTGAAGTGCTCTGCTCTGACGGTGAGGAGAGGAGGCAAGGAAGAGAAGCACGAGCAGTCAGAGGCTGGACAGGAAACTGCACACGAGGTGCTTTTTTTCTGTAATTTCATAAAACCTGCAGTGATTCTAACCTGTTATAACATTTGAGGGAAAACAAGCTAAACTTATAAAGTGCCCCATTATGATTTCAACAGTTAGTTCAGTTGATGAACATGTTTTTATTTGTATTTTTTGTAGGACTCGTCGTGTTCTGCTCTTGAACATTCCAGTGAGAATTGGTTGAACGGCTCCAGACGTGCTTCACACGTTTTCTTTTCTCAGTTTTACGGCGGCGATGTTCATAACTCCGCTGTGAGGAATCAGATGCCCTCTGAGTCCTGTGAATCATCCCTCTGTGGGTCTCCTCTTTCCCCCAAAGGGTTTGGATTTCCACACAATAGACCCTGGACATTTGACCCATATTTATACGCAAGTCAGAAGGAGTTGTCCATGGAGGAAAGAGAAGAAGAGGATGCTGAAAAAGAAGAGAATGAAAAGGAAATGTCAGCGGAACAGCTTTCTGATATCGAAGTATGTGAAGCTTTTGACAGTGTTTTTCTGTTTCTGACATGTGTGATGTTTTAATCAATCTTCTTTCAGTCGAAGTATTCGAGCCATTGGAGAAGGCCCACGTTCTCTCCAAGGTGGGCGTATATGCCTAGAGACCGTCGTTTTGGCTTCTGCCGCTCATTGTCATCCAGCATGGAGAATATGGCTTTCTCTGGAGCACCCCTCAGTCCAAAGAAGGATTCATTTTCATCTCTTGATGAACCAATAAACGAAGACTGTCAGTATAGCAGGAGGGCCTTTAGGGATGATACATCTCTGCATTGCAGCAGAAGACAAGGTATCTCTATCACGTTATCCAGTGCAGCTAATTTCCTTGTATCAACTTGTTTTTTCTTTTGCACCAAGCATCAAAGCCAATTCCTTTTAGTTGTATAATTATTGGAAACAGATGTTCAGATTTTGATTTTTTCCATTCTGTCTTTGATAAAAGTTAGAAATGAGTGAAAACTGTGGCAAGATACTCAGAAATATTCAACATAATCTCACTTACAAAAAACTAATCCTTATCATCATCATCATTTATTTTATTTCAGACACAATATATGATCCATATAAAAAACAGAACAACAAGAACATGAAGCTAAAAAGCTTTTCTATAGAGGCTCAAACACCACTGAGTCCATAAAGTTGAAAAGTATCGCACAGAGCTTAGTCCAGGGTTGGTCAGTGTAGTGACGATACAGTTTTCAGATTCAGACAACCTACACACGAGGTTACGCAGCACCGCAGGGCAGGTAGGCACGCCTGTATCAACATACATTTGGCTCGCACTGCTCCATCGAGGTACCCTCAGCAGCATCCGCATGCCATCATTATATGCCACACTTAGTCTATACATACTGCTCCTTTTATAACGTCTCCACAGGTGAGCGGTATACATAGGAGTGCAGTAGGCCTTAAAGAGTTGGATCTTAATTAATGTTGAGCACATTCCAAACCTACGGATCAGCATGTTAGCTTGTCTATAGAACATACAACGTTGTCTGTAAATGTCTGTCATGATCTGACAGGTCTGCAGTCACATAGTACCTCAAGTATTTACATTCGTCACTGACATTCAGCCTGTTGCCCGACAGAAAGAAATCAGGGAACATCAACTTGGAGTCCTCTCTTCTCTCTCTCTCCTCCTTTTTGTGTACAGGATTTTGTTGTTGTTGCGTGTTTGCCTTCTTCAAGAGATTGCTCGTTTCTTTGTTTCCGCAGAGTGGGCCAAGTTTTCTGACTTTACTTCAGTCTTGAACAGCAGAGGCAAAAGGAAGATGGTGAAGATAAAAGAGAGCTCTACCGATATGGTAATATGAAACAAAACGTGTGGATAATATTTAACTTTATTTGTAACTTAAAGAAAATATCAGTGACCATTGATCCATTAAAACCATTAAAACTGACTTTATACTTTTCTCTTTTTCAATATTGTACACCTTTTTCCAATCTTTTCCCTCTTATGGAAAATAGATTGCTGTACAGTCCAACCTGTCGAATGCCTCGTGGAAAAAACGCAGAATGTTTTTTGGAGAAGCTACATGTTGGTCAGCTTCAACCAGCCTCAGTCAGCTCAGTAAGGACTTTGTTTAGATTTACAATGTTTGTAAAAATCACCAGTTAAAAAGAAAGTGGAGGAGTCAATGCAGTGCTTCTCATTTTTTAAACAGTATAATTAACAATAACCTACTTAACCTCAGTTTAGGGTTTAGTTTTAAAGGTTTAATGATTAATAATATTAATATCGTTTCAGATTTTGAGTCCTCAGATTTGACGCAGAAACAAATGTCTTCTCATCAGGTAACTTCTTGCTACATATTGCGAATTTAAAGTGGTGACACTAATAAACACTAATAATAGAAAAAACACAATTAAAGTAGCAGAAAAGCTACGCATCAGTGATATTGGTCAAAATGTTTTTGAATTGGCCCTCAGGATATGTGGAGCCCCACTCATTCAGCGTGGAACAGCTGGGCCAAAAACATGAGTCGCAGATCCTCGTAAGTGTCATTTGGTTCTCCTCGTGAATTTAAAAATACTTTATTATCATGTTTACTATTTGTTCTGTTGTAGGTTACAGTGTGGTCCTTCACCTGAAGGTATTTATGAACTTCCAAAGCAAATCCTTTAAAAGGGCTTCATGTGGATTTTGTTGAGATTTACTTTTTTTGTTGTTGTTTTGTTTTGTTTGCTGCAGTCAAGAGCTCCTCCTTCCAGCCTAGTGACAACTTGTACCCACACTTTTCAGGTATTTACATGAAGAAACAATAGGCCTTTCTAAATGGATGTGTCATGGACACGGTGTCTGTACTCTCCCCCTAATGCCAATATCATCTACGGCAGTGGTCCTCAACCCCCGGGTACCGGTCCATGGGTCAATGGGTACCGGGCCGTACAGAAGGTGGAAAAAAGTTTTATTTTGAAAAATCACAAGATTCTTTCTACCACGTCAGTCTATGACGCACTCTTGACGCAGGTCGACATACACAAGTGCTTAGTTTCAGTTTGTGCTAGGTGCATGCGCAGATCAGTTCTACATTGCTGGTGAAGAACAAAGCAGTTCAGCTACGTGGTCTGGAGCAGACAGGTGGAGGTGCGCACTGCGCAGCCGTATCTGTGCATTTTGAAGGATTACACGGCATATTTTTCAACCCACCTGACAAAGATTGACTATAAAACTATAACTAAATAAAACTATAATTTTAACAAGCTTCCTAATATCGCATCAGAGCTGTCACTTCACATTTTTGCTTCTGCTCAAAAAAAAAATCTCTGCCCCTAAAAGTTCGAAGTCATGGGTAATATTTTATAAAACGCAAAAATCTAATTAAAAATTTTGCACTAGGCATAAGTTCCTGTGCTTTTGTGAACAATCTGATGTGTGAATCACTGCAGGAGCTATCACCGAACTGATAAAACAGACGACGATCTCAGCTCATGAAGCTGTTTGTTGTGCAGAGTGTTTGAAGCAAAAAATGTTTTAAATGTTTGTAAAATACACCAGAATGCAGGAAATGGCATCTACTTTATTCAAAATTCTGTTGGGGACACATGCCGAAGTGTCCCTGGGCAAGACACTGAACCCCTCATTGCCTCCAATGTGTTCCATCGGTGTATGGATGTGATAACGCTCTGATTAGTCTTTGTATATTTATAGTAGAGTGCTGTATGAATGGGTAAATGAGGGCACAGATTGTAGTGTAAGGAGCTTTGAGTATCGTCATAAGATAGAAAGGCGCTATATAAATACATATACAGTAGTCCATTTACCATACATATGTCTTGTACCGCTTTTCTCTGGGTGTTGTAATTTTTATTAATCCGCCATATTGGTGCTACAGCCAACCAATCATTCATACCCACTGGTATATGAGAAGTGGTACTGCATACTAGTGAGTAGCAGTCCACTTTGAGCATAGGGTACACTCGGTCCTAAAATACTGTATCTTTGAAAGCTACTCAGTATTTTTGTAGTTTTGATAGTGTCTTTGTTTCATTTTAAGCTATGGAGAGAAACAATCTGATGAGACTGGCTCACACGATCCCCTTCACTCCTGTTTCCATGTTTGGTAACTTTAATTTGTATTATATTCACTTTATTTCTTCTTAAGTGTTGTTCAATTTACATATATTTCTATTTTTAATGTGTGCTTGATTTTCCTTTTCCTTTGCTCTCTGTTCATGCACTTCATTCAGAGTTTTTTCATTGTCTTCAGGAGGTGAAGAAGTGAGTGTCTACACTCTGGAGGACGTAACCTCTGACACAGACCCTGAGCCTCGTTCTGTCTCGTCCTGGTCCTCCCGAGGCCACTCTGCCATACTGCAGCTGCTCTCCAGTGAGGAGGGTTCTCTGGATGGGGGTCTCCGGCAAGGCTGCAGGACGTTATGCACCTGGGCAGAACAGGACGTGCTAAAGCCTGGAATGCTGTACGTGGTCAAAGCTTTTAAGCCGGAGGTGGTTCGTGCTTGGCAGAGACACTTTCATGGGAGCACAGCTCTGCAGCTTTGTTTAAGGGTGAGACTTGCAAAACAATTCAAAGTGTATTCAAGCAAAGAATCATTGAATAGATCATAATTTCTCATACAGTTTATAGGAAAGTTTCACCTAAAAGAGAATTTGTTCTTTTAAGTGTGCTTATGTAGAATACTTATGAGAAGTGAGTATTTTGCCTGCAGTGATCAGAGTGATTTTAATTTGGAGAATAACAGAACATAGATCAGGCCCCTAGCAGAATACATTTTCACAACTCCAAACAACTTCTTTGGAGTTTGACCACTTCCAATATTAAATATTTAAATCACTGGCTTTTTTTCCAGCCAGAGAACATGTTGCAAATTATGCATCTTGTTTTAAATCAGCTGAGCTGTTCGAACCTGTTAGTGTCTACAATCAAAAGGTCCTCCTCTAGATATTTTGGTTCTTAAGCCTAACTTAACAAAAAGATTTTTAATATCCACTTTTTATGTCACTCATTTTCAGTCTTGTTGATGTCCACTAATTAAACGATAGTCACTACTGATCAGAGGAAGAAAGCATTGAGTGCAGTTTACCATAATATATACTCTGACTGATAGGAGTTAAAAACACTGAGTTCTAATTGTAAATGTTCTTAAGCATGAGTTTTTTATTGCCTCCTCACTTTGATTGACGTGTTTGACATCTTAAAGGAGATCCAGCAGCAAAGAGCAGCTCAGAGGATGATGCAAGTGTTTAACCAGATTAAACCTGATGATCTGCACCACTCTCCAAGGTGTGTGTGTTTGATTCTGTACGGTGTTCACTGTATGTGTATACACTTGTGCATATCTGTGCCGTGTTATCGCTTTCTTTGCTTTCTACCAGATTTCTGGATGTATCGCTGGTTCTTTGGCACTCTAATGGCCAGTGGTTGACTATTGAGAGAAACTTAACGGGTGTGTTCAGGAAATACAACAACAACACAGGAGAAGAGATCACCCCCTGCTGTTCACTGGAGGACATGCTGCTGGCGTTCTCCCACTGGACCTACGAGTACTCCCGCAGAGAGCTGCTGCTGCTTGATATCCAAGGCAAACCTGTTTACCATTCGTGTGTTTGTAGCGTACCGTTTTTTTTTATTTTTTAATCTGTATATTTATTTATTTTGTATTTGTCAGGAGTTGGGGAGGAACTGACTGATCCAACAGTCATTATGGCAGACGACCAAAGGTATAGTAGCAATGTTTGCTCTCATCTGGTTTTCAAAAGCTCCATCATTTAGTCTTTTCGGGACCACCATTTTTTAAATATAAGCTAAAGACAGTTTTTATACTTTACACTCACTCACTTTTTCTTTTCTTTTTTTTTTACTTTCTTCCAGCGGAGGCAGAAATGATATGCTTTTTGGTCCTGATAACCTCGGAGACGCTGCCATCAGTGGGTTCCTGCAGAAACACTCCTGCAACTTCTGCTGTCACAGACTGGGACTAAAAGGTACAAAACCAGTGTTTGTACAGGAGAGTCACCAGTCAGGAAACGTGTGTTTATTAGTGAAATGTATTTATTTTGGGAAAAATATCTTCATCTAATTAATTTTATGGTTTTCTTGCCATGGAATTAAAGCATAAAGCACGTATTTGTATGTCACCTCTGTGTCGTCACTCAGGAGGCCAACTTGGCTCTGAGAGAAATCCCCGACAACTTCAAATGAAGACAGCACACACCAACAGCCAGCTAATTAAGCAACGAATCTTCATTTATTTCTGTAACAACAGTAGAGTTTGAGGCATGGGGGTGGGCCCTGCTTTGTGCGTTGTGCTGCGCGGCCTTTGATTACGTATTAATCATGTCTTTGTGCTGGCAATGTGCTGCTGAGACATTAGCTTTGATTAGCTATTAATTAATGTCTCTGGGTAGACACGATACCGGCATCTAGAGGATAACCGTGCGGAAAGAAACTGTGCTCAGAAACAAACAAGCCCCAGCAAACAAACACACGAGCGCAAACATTCAGACACAGTTGTTTTGATATTTCAAAGGTGCGTTGTGTTTTCTTTTTCATTTTTCCTTGTGTCCTCTCCAAGATTCCTCTAACAAATCAAACCAAATTATTCATGCAGGATGCACAGACTTCCTCCCAGGCCTGTCAGTATTCTCTTTCTTGTGATAATGACTGTGTTATTGGAGTGACACGTCGCTAACGGATGTTTCTGTTGTTTAGATTTAAGGAGGCGTTTGGGCAGCTGTGAGAGCAGCAGTGAGGAAGAGTTGACGTCGGAGAAAGAAGAACAAGAGAACGTTTAAACCGGGATGTACCCTTTGACCAGGGAAGTAGGGAAAAATATGTTTTTTCAGACAAAGATGTTTTTTTTTTGTAAAATACTCCAAATCCTTATTTGTTTACAGTGTAAACAGGGAGATGAGATATATTTGTCATCAGAAAACTGACTTTAAAAGGTTTTTATAATTACTGATTTTAACTAAAGTTTCTAATAAATTCTTAAATTGAATAAAGTTGGAGTATTTGGTTATTTTAAGACTTTAAAGAAAACTAAATGGCATTTTTTTTTTGTCTTTATGTTTAGAGAATTATTGTGTACAGTAGTCCAAGTTCAAGTTCAGTTTAAGTTCAGTAAACTTTGTTGTGACGTGCCAAGCTCACACTCATCACCTGTTACTCCCAATCTCCCTCCTTAAATAAACAATTTAAATTTAAATACTGTAACATTTTGAATAAACAATCCATGCATGGATGGTTTATTCAAAATGTTACAGTATTTAAATTTAACTTGTAGAGAAGAGAAGTGCAGCAGGATGTCACAGCTTCAGCTCTGCAGCACGGAGCAGAAATGTACTTCTTGATCAATTATACTGAATCAACTGAACATAGAAGTACTAAAATAATTAAAAATAACTTTTAACACTTTATATTTTGTGATTATGATGATTTTACGATGTGACATACGTTGAATTTTAAGTTGGAAGACAAAAGTCGATCGGTGCATCTGGACAGCTTAACCCTTCACAAAGCTGCAGCAGAAGAAATGTGTGTGCGTGCAGAGAAGGAAATCAGCTGATCAGCTGCAGGAGAGAGCTTTCCCTGCACTTGTGGGCTGCACACATGGTGCAAAATAATTTAAAATAATTTAAATAAACAATCCAAGACTCATCCATCAATCAGCCAATTGTGTCAAGTCCAATCTTATTTTGAAAAACCGTGATATATCAAATCTGCGATAAACGAACCGTGAAGATGTGATGGACTACGTATGTACAGATAAAACAAGGATATTTTTGTTAGTGATTCAGAAAAAAGGAGACAGAAATGCACCCATAAAATTTATTTTATTTTTTTCCTTCCCACAACAAATTGTCTACAAAAGCAATAAAATATAGAATTCAACAAAAAAAAAAATCACTTCAGACCTTCACATTGTATGTACAACTCAAAGGAGGACTGGCCGAGGACTCTCTCTGAACCTCATCCCCGTCTGATTCTTCAGCTCTGGATGCTTTTTGACTCTGTTCATCACAAATGCACGTGCATACACGCTCCTTTCTCCTCGCGTGGAAATCAAAATGCTACAGTGGATGTGAAGATGAGTCAAGAGTTCAGAGTCCAGACGACTCCCCACCAAAGAAAAAAAGCATAAAATGTTCAACAGCTTTTTCAGTGTAACCAGTTGCACATTTTTCCTTATAGTTCCCCCTTTTTATTTTTCATGTAAACTCACACAGTAAAGCATCTTAGCCTCTCTCTGCCAATCCTTTTACTCCACTAACTATGGCACTTTGAAAACAAACAAAACAAAAAGACGTTTTGTATTTTTAATAAAATGTATCATCTTGTTTTGTTAGTTCTGTGTAAAAGAGGTTCTGTAGCCCAAACACCTTTTTTTTTAGGTTCTGGTTACAGAATGCTACATTTAGTTTTATTTGCTCTTCCTTGGAGGCAAAAACTTTCTAAAAAATAAATTAACATTTTTCAAAACCGCTCCAATTGCACACACGTGTAATGCATCAAGAAAGGTTACAAAGCATCGGTAGAGCAAACATCACCTCGCCGTTCGCTGCCTCTCACACTCATACTCACGCAAGTTTTCTTACAAAACGGAGGAGGAAGTTTGGAGTGTGTGTCTAAGTGTATGAAATGTGTTTCTGATTGGCTGCGGTAAAAACGCCGGCACAATTTTTGTCGTCGCAACAAAATATTGTGCGCTCTGATGTCATTCTGTGTTGATGGAGCAGGAAAAGGCGCGTGATGTGTTCAGCCTCTCACACTGAGCAGGCCACTCCATAACATTCAGAATAGATTACCCCACCCACATCGCCCCATCCCCCCCACCCTCTCAAACAAAAACAAAAAAACAGCAGATAAAGGGTTTCCAATCCAGTCCAGTAAGGCCAGTTCAGAAGAGGTCGTCCATTGATTTACATCGCTTCACACATTCATCAGGTGACAAATAACAACTTTTAAAGTTTAATGAAAATTTGAAATCAGTTCTGTATAAATTAGAGCATTTTATTAAAGAAAAGTCTGTTTGAAAACTGCTTTTGATTTGACTGAGACGATGTAAAATTTCCCCTAAACCTACCCTGCCAAACACTCCCCCCCTCCCCCGAAACCCACATCATCATCATCATCATGAGAGAAGGAAACACAAATAAGCCCCAAAATGTTTCATTGTAATGAAACGTCATGCAAATAGAGCAGAACAACAATAGGCTAATAGTAAGAGAAGAATAGTAGTCATAATAAGAACAATAATAATAATAATAATAGTAATAAAATGGAAAAAAAATAATCTTACAATGCAAACATGACAGTAGTAAATGCCTCCAGTTCTTATTGCTACAGTTTTATACTTACAGTAGTGGTTGTCATTTACCCCACCCCCCACCCCCACTCCCCCCTCACAACCAAGTTCCACCCCTTTTGATTCACAGTCTAATGAGGGAAACAAACAAAAAAAAAATCACATTCAAAAACTTCCATATTTAGAGTTTGAATTCACTGTCGCAGGCCTGATGTGATGGCGCTTAAATCACTAGTGGACAAGAGTCCCGAGAGCAGCAAACGTAGCGGTAAACATGAGCCGAGAGCGTTGACGATCGCAAGAGTCCATTGTTTTTCTGGTCTTTTACAGTGTAAATGGTGTCATGAAGTCTAGGTCGCTACAGAGATACATGGACAGTGAATTCATGCTCCACACACACACTCACACACACACACACATAAACATTGCTATCAAAGCCTTGTCTGGGCAGATTCCTTTGACGGCATACATTAGCGGCCTATGCCATTTAAAATCCTAAAAAGTAATTCTTTTATAACTTTTTTTTTCATAAATTTCCAAAAATATTAAACCCTCTTGTAATGAAAATTGAGAAAAAGATCAGCTCCCTGAGAGATGCTAAGTAGTGCATCAAGTCTTGAGCGAGTGATTGTCTTTAAGAGTGACTGGCCTCTGCTCTGTGCTCGGGTCAGGGGTTCAAGGAAAGTTGTTTTACTTTGGAGGAACCAGTAAAAGGACCATTTCCTGTAAGCATGGCCCGGACTAATGTTGATTACTGAAGACTAACACTGCCACATGTTTCTGACATTGTTTTATGGTTTACATGAGGAAAAAACAAGACGCGGGGAAGAAAAACGGTGTTATGGTTCTTATATTTTATGTAATGGATGGATTATTAGTCTGAGTGTGTCCCTCTGTAGAGAAGTAAAGATTTGGCCACTGTGCAAAAACATGTTCAAACACAAAAACCTTCAGGGAATTTCACATTTTTAGTGCTGGACCAGAGTCTACAAATCATGGCATTAAAAGGTGAGGTAAGAGCTGTGTTGGACTAAAAAAAATAATCTAAAAGTTATCATTTGTCCAACATTATGAAACATCAGCTAATTTATTTGATGTTTGTCAGCGGTCTCTTCCTTTAGTGTGAGGCTCATGATGGTGAGATTTTGTTTAACTCGTCAGAAATCTATTTAGTTAAATAAATGTATACATCTAATAGCTGTATGCAAAAGCCCCATAAAACATGTATCCTCAATTAATTTGATGAAAAATGACAAAAGCAACAATAAGAGCTGAGTGGATGAAGGTGCACTTAGACCAGTATGATTTTTATACAATGTCCAAATACAAAAATAATAATAAAAAAAAGTTTAAGTGCTAACGATAATGGAATGACTGCACGTAAAAAGTGATTGTCTAATACAATTTCCAGCATGATTAGCCCATGTCTCTGTAAATATTTAGACCAGTGGAGGCTAATCAACGTTTCTTTATTTTTTATTTAGTGCTGTAATGTCTTGACCTCTGCTCAAACTGCGGCACGTTGAGTTTGCAGTGCGCCGTTTGTCAAAACGATTGTTAGACATCAGTAGTGGTCAAGAACAAAAAAATAGTGCATTCTGATTTTTACCCTGTTTAAGCAGCTAAGAAAAGGGACAAAAAGGTAAAAAAAAAAAAAAAAAGAAAGTTATAATTTTAATTTTAGTTGTGAACGTTATTGCTCTTCAGAGAAAGGGTTTGACATATTTACAGCTTGGAGTGTCTGACATCTGGAAAAGATTGTGCAAACAGGAGGATGAGAGCATACCTCGCTCATAGATTAGAGCCATTAGAAATGTATATTAATTCAAGTTTGTATGGACTTTTTCACATTTCTGGTGGATTATTTATACAAATGTTCACTGACTTCTCATCACTTGTCTGCCAAAACATGTTGCAAAGGTCCTGATTTATTAGAGACGAAGAGCAAAGTAAAGGGACGTTGGGAAGAGGTGTGTGTGGAGTTTATGGCGAGGTCCTGGTTTCTGATGAGATCCTTCAGGTTGATTGTTCGAAAGCAGTCCAGCTATTATTGAATAGAATTGTTGCAGCGTGACATAAATGACTGATAGGACGGCAAATCTGCCAGATTCTTTCTCGCAAAATAGACTATTTATACATCTTCACCTTGAAAAGTAGTAGCAATTATTTTCTTTGTAAATCCTTCATATGATCTTTTTACATTTTTATAAGATTTGATCAGAAGGATATAACTCCTTCTGTACATATGAACAAAATCCAGACAAGGCTTCTTTATATCAGCGTATCCAAATTGTTGCCCCGTTTTTGCTCAGTGTTCTTTTACAAGTCGCAGCTTTACAAATTCTGTACACAAACTACCAAATAAAATAAGAACACAGACAAGGTATAGTCAGCCACAGCGGACTGCTTTTATATTAAATTAGGACTAACTTACTTTAAACAGAACAAGAAATAATACTGGAATCTGTTCTCCACTAGAAGAATATCTACAATAACTTCTCTAAATCCAGTCCCCTCCCTCATCCAGCTCCTTCATGGTCACGAAGTCTTCATGGGGGTAAATAAAAAAAAGAACAAAACAATTATTTTTCTAAGTTAAATCAAATTAACTTACCCATCTTTAAAAAAACAAACAGATTTGACAGCTTGAAATAGTTTCTAGCTGTTTTAAAGTCTGTACATTTCTGGTCAGTCACTTCAGTTCAGGAAACACGTGGAAGTCCCTCTGAAGTTGTGGCTGGGGCACGCTTCATTTATATATACATTCTTCAGACTGTAACGGTGAACAGGATGGGATAAGTGCAGGACATTCCTAGTGTTGTTGGCGATAACGCGAGTTTCTAGTAGATGAATCCTCACCCACCGGTCTGAAACGAGCCTGGGGAGCTCAAAAATACCTGGTTGCTACAATGACACAGTCGACACGGTCGCTGTTGTCTTGTCGGACGGAGCGTACTTTAAATTTATTGGTCCTCTTCTGTGGCTGTTTGGTGGATTTTGGACCACCTCACTTGGGCATGGCCATGGCAGAGTTTGGGTCGGGGTTAAAGAGTTCTTTGTAGAGGGGAGGGAAGAGGACGTTGACCGTTTCTGGATGGAGTTGCTGGAAGGCCTGAAGCTCCTCGGTATGAAGGGTGCACAGGGCTGACAATGTTGGGATTCGGCTGATCAGCTGCAAAAATGGAAGAAAAGCTGGTCAAGAATAAGTCGTCAAATGAATTTATAAAGCAAATTTAAAACAGCAGCTGTTACCAAAGTGCTTAATAAAATCAGAGGCAGCCGTTAAAGAAAAAATAATAACTAGATGTAATTAAAAGTAAAACATAAAACCACAAAAACAATGAAATACTAAATCAAACCACAGTGTGTTAATCGTCAGTGAAAATTTTTAGTAGAGATTTAAAAACAGGAAGCGAAGTGGCCGGTTTGATGTTGGGGGGCAGATTGTTCCAGAGTTTAGGGCCCATGACTGAAAAAGCTCGATCTCCTCTGAGCTTCAATCTGGTTTTTGGTGCAACCAAAAGCAGCTGGTCAGATGATCTCGGCGCCCGAGAAGGAACATAAGGTTGAAGTAGCTCAAAGAGGAGGGTGCAAGGCCATTTATGTACTTCAAGGTCAACAGGAGAATTTTAAAATCTATTCTGATACGTACAGGGAGCCAGTGAAGGGAGGACAAAACTGGTGAAATATGCTCAAACCTACGAGTTCCTGTTCAGAGCGGAGTTGCAGCATTTAAAATAAGAATTTAGCATTTATTTAGAATAAGGGAATGTAGGCTGAAATACTAAAAATTAACTCAAGATTCAAGGCCATCTTTATGCTTTTCTTTCTTTTTTACATTTTTGAGCTGTCCTTGAGGTCAACAGAGCTGCTGTTTTTGCTTAATTTGGATGCTCTCGGACTTCTAAGGATATGCTGATATAGTCTTACAAACATTATGCCAACCTTAGCCAGTGCATCTTCATCCATGTGGTTCTTCTGCATAATGTGCTGTAGAGCAAAGTAGATCTTCTCCTGGAGCTTCTGGACTTTTCGCGGCTCCATTAGCCAGGGCCGATCTGAGAAGAAACGAGTGCTGATTCTTTTGGTGCTAAAGGTTTAGGGTTGGTACACGCTAATGGTAGAGTTCGATATATATTTAGTTTGGTTGTAAGTCCACTACACACTACGACTGAAATACAAAGATAAATCAATGCCAGTTCTTGCAGATAAATATCCAGAGTAAGCGTCTTGAAATGCAAGCACTATAAATCATACTAATTTTTAATTTCACATTTGCATACGTGGATCCACACTGACCTGTAGAAATTAGTACAGCTGCTGAGAAAAGTGCAATCTCCTCCTCTGTTAGCTGCAGTGAACACATGCTCTTGGCAAAGTCAAACACTGCACTCACTAAGTCGTCACAACCTTCACAGGACACACACAGAAGGGTAAAGAAAAATGTTATTACACTCGTTATGTACGAAGTGCTGATGAGCTAAAAATGGATTTGCTTCTTTTATTCCTTTAGTGTCGATTAGCCTTTTTGTTATTTTAGATGGAATACATGAGTGCCAGTGTCTTACCTAGAGCTTTGAACATCTGCATGCCTCCGTATTTTCCCTCAAAGAGCACAGTGTTGTTAAGAGGGTTAAACGCCCTGCACATCCGCACCAAGACTACCTCCAAACAACCTGCAAGAACCATCCAGACATCTCATGATGCATTCATGGTGATAATTTTTAGCTAAATAATAAAAAGAAAAATCATCAACAATTTTATTGTTCTTCTTGAACGTTTGGTCCGTTTTGAAACGTGCAGTTTGTTTAGTTTTGACGGTGACTGGTTTGATGTCTCACCTGACTTAAGGAGGAGGATCTGGTCATTCTGGCACAGTTCCATGAACCCTGAGATACGCTTGGCAAACTCCACCACGTACTGGATGGCATGGGTGATCTGGATGGCACACTGCTGCCACAGCACGTCCTGAGGCTGGAATCAAACGCACACATGCTCTTTATTTCAGAAGTTATTTACATGTCAGTAAGGGAAGGGAAGTCTGAGATTGCCATCATTGTATGTTTCCATACAATGGCGAAATTAGTTCTCTGCATTTAACCCATCACACCTGGGATACACCCAGGTGGAGCAGTGGGCAGCTATGTAAGCACCCGGGGAGCAATTGGGAATTGGGTGTCTTGCTCAGAGACACCACGACATATGGAAATGGTCTGGAAGTCTAACCGTGACTTTGGTCCCAAGTCAACTGCCCTACCTCTACCCCATCTCAGCCCCCTAAATAATAAATAAATAGTACTGATTAATTGTTTATATGCAACATGATTGAAAAACTCTGAAGTAAATGAATATCAGCACATGTTTTTGTCTTTTCCATCAAGAGTGCTTCATTAGATTTGAATCAGTATTATCGGTAGTTTTGAACCACTGCTAATGTAGAACCGTTAAAGGTTAGGTAACATTAACAATCCTTATCAGCAGAATCGTTGCTGAAACTTAACATTTTTTACAGTAAATCTAACAAAAGCAGTAAAATGACAAACTCATAAATCATAGAAAAATTAAGCTAAATGGGATATTTTGATTTTTGAGATATTTCACTTCATGTTCAGGCTGCTGATGTTTAATGTACCATATTATTTTACATTATTAGTGTTTAGTGTATATCTTAGATCCTTGTATACTGTTTCTTTTATACTTTATATTTTTGCTATTTTGGGGTGTACCTGGAACCTTGAGTACACAATTTCATTCCACCTCATGTACCACATGCGAATGACAAAGAACCTTGAACCTTGATATTGCAAGTTACATTCAATGCATGAAGATGACGTAACCTGCAACCCTCACCTTGCTCTGGTACATCTTGACTTCTTCGTATGAATGTGTCTGCCAGGCTAGCTGCTGCAGCTCCTCTGTTGTGTACTGACATGTTTCCAAGTGTGACTTGATGATATTCTGAGCAATACGGTCTGAAAGAGAGAAATGTGTTTTTTTTTTTATAAAGTGGGTGATGCTGAAGTATGATGTATGTTATTACTGCAGATGCTAAGAACACAAAACCAAAACTTTAGGAATATTTTAGTCCAGTATTTGTTGTTAACTCTTAAATGTCAACTTCATTTTAACAAGATTTGTGCTACACTGGAGGTGTGCACACACTGTCAGCTAGCCATGTAAGCCTATCTGACCTCCTGTTCTTCTTTCAGATTAGGACTCTGACTCACTCTTTCTTCTAGAACCACTTTGCCCTTAATATTCAAATAAAACAATATATTTTCAGTTTATTTTAAAGCGTAACCAATCCACCACACACATTTAATTTATGAAGCAAAGAGGCATTATTCACCTAGCTCTCCCATGCTGACATTACTGGGTCCAAACTGGCTGTCCTGGTAGCCTCCATAGCTGAACAGGTTGGGTACTGGCGTCAGGTCATAAACCGGCTCCTGCTTTATGTGCTTCATGCCCGTCATGTCCAAACCTGACTGGTCTGGAGACGGCTGGGTGGAATCGATGCCATAGTAGCCCCCTGGCACTCCGCCTCCATTACCATGGCCACCTTTGGGTAGCTCTATGACATGACCGTTGGCATAAGTGCCCCCGATTTCATGGTTGAGGGTGGACAGTCCGTTGGTTAGGCTGGAGGAGTAAACGCGTGCCAGAGCTTCAGCTTCACCAGTCTGCTGCTGTCGCTGCTCCTGAAGTCGTGCCTGGTGCTTCTGGACCTCTGCGTAAAGGCTGTCGCGCTGCTTTTTGGACATTCGGCCAAACTTAACCGCTGTATAGGTAGATAATAAAACATAGGGTGACAAAATTAATGATATTCTTTTTAAAAAATCAGCTTTATATAAAAAAAAAAATCTTGTTTGGAGGAGAGTACTATTGTATGTTGGTCATTGTTTCGGGGAATAATTAGACTAAACGTATATTTTGACTGTAAATGCAGGTAAAACTGGGCCTCACCATCTCTGGACATTCCGAGGGCGAGACATTTCTGCAGACGGCAGTGTTGGCAGCGGTTACGATTTGTTCTGTCGATGAGGCAGTTCCTCTGGCGGGGGCAGGAGTATGAGGCATTGTTTTGCTGACTCCGTCTGAAGAAGCCCTGGTTGCGTGTCAACAAATAAAAAGAGCAGGCCTTAGATTTGAGCACAGGTGCTGCATGAACTGAGTGGATTTTAAGCAGAGTTAACATTGTGCAGGAAGATTTTAAGCCTTACCTTACAGCCCTCGCATGTAATGACTCCATAGTGGATACCTGATGATTTGTCTCCGCAGATTTTGCATGGTATAACTTCGATTTGGGCTGTAAGAGAGGCAAAAAGAAAAAAAAAATTTTTTTAAATGCATTCTGAACTCAACATAGACATTTGCTCCTCTGACAACACCTTCAGTCCAAGATGCTGAACTCCAGCTGGGGCTCTAATTTGACGCAGGTAACCTGGTTGGCTGAAGTACTTGAACGAACGTGCAACGTGTCTGAGGACACTTCTCTAACCTCCAAAGTCACAAGAGCACAGTGACATGTAGACATTTGTGTCTTTGCAGAAGTTTTCTACTTACTGGGGCACTTAGGGCTGCGTAAGTGCTCACAGTACACACGCACAAACAGGCATACACTCAAGTGAATGACTAGATGTGTGTGTGGACTCTTTGTGTTTTACTTGAAGTAGAGACCCCTGCAGGTTAAAAGGGTAGTCCATAATGAGAAAACCTGTTACATCACTGAAGGGCCACTCTTTTTTTTTTCTCTTCTAGGTTCATCTTTTTTGACTTTGCACAAACACATATTTAGTTGTCCAGCTACCATTCAGTCAGACTTTTGCTTTTTCTACTTTACATTAATCTGCACTAATCTCACTGCTTTTGTCTTCTCTTACTCACTGTGCACAGGCAGCTCCATGTACAGTCTCAACCAAAGGCACAGAATGCGATCAGAAAGGATTTCAACAGCCAGAAACCCCCGTCGTGGATATCTTGAGCATATTATCCTTAATATATGAAAAGACAGGCTCAGTTCCTACGAAGAGATAGATGTTCATGAATGTAGAGGTAGGCAGGTATGCTGCTGAGATGGCACAGTCTCTATAAAGAGATTAGACAGCCTAACTAATCCTAAATTATTTCCCGACGAGCTGGTTCCCTCTTCTGCTAAGCGCTGTAATATGCTGTATCTCCAGCAGCCGTTCACATACAATCACCTTACACAGTCCCACCTGATGGGAATTTCATAAATTTATTAAATTTACCAGATGCCCAGAGACGGGGGAAGTCAACAGGCAGAACCATGCGCTTTAATTTAGGCTAATTCACTCTTCTTTAGCGCATAGCACAACCCTTTCTACTATATTGTATTTAATGTGGTGAAGTGCATATTAGTGATTGTGTGTGGACATGAAAGTGCTGCTGAATGCTTTAGCTTTGCACACACACATTTGTCATGCATATATTGTGTGGTCATATGTAATGGTGGAATGAGTGTGCAATATTCACAACTAGATAATCTCTTATGAGGATCAATACAGGAAGTTCTGTCTGTGTAGCAGATGAACATTTACAGAATAGACGTGTTTTTCTAGATTCTAAGCGTAGACAAAGGGTGTAAACTTTTTAAAAACATACAGAAAGAAATATTTAACATAGGAGTATTATTTCATACCATACTGGTCTGCTTGTGGCAGCTTTGCATTGTTACCTTTAGATGCAGTTGAAGGAAAAGTAGGACTGTAGAAACCTTATGTATCCATAAATGAGCCTGCGCCAGCTGTTTCTATATTTATATTTCTCTAATTTGCTTATTGCTCCTGGCTTAGGCCATTCTGGGTGGGACTACATGTCTTTATCTGTGCACACATGGGTTTACTTTGGGTAATCCAGTTTCCTCCCACAGACCAAAAACATGTTACTGGGTAACTTTAAATTGCCCCTAGGTGTGAGTGAGAATGATTGTCTGTCTCGTTTGTCTTTAAGAGTCCCTGTGATGAACTGGAGACCTGTCCAGGGTGTCCCCATCTTTCACCCACCCTGGAACGAAAAAGTGGGAAAAAGCAAAGTATCGATAATTTGCTCGTTCCCTCGACACCTGCTGCCATGATGTCACATGAAAAGCTTCTAAAGCAAAATCTTTGATTGACTCTGGACTGTGCACTCTTTGTCATGATAATTTTATGATGCATTAAGAGTTTACTGACTGCGTTTAATAATGTAAATGATGCTTCAATCGTCAATGACGGGTCAAATTCTGATCTACGTGTGAAGTCTTGACCCAAACAACAGGGCACTGGGTCTTGTGGATGTAGATTGTCTGAGTGATTAAATATCATGGTGTCTGACTTAAAGTAACAGCTCGTGCTCTTAGTTTTGGAGATGTGACCCATTTCCACCAGTTCTTGGCCAACTAGATCTAAACTGGGTCAGAGTGGAGTACTGGACTTGGACCACAAACAAACCTGTCAATAAGTGCAGCCTGTAACACACTATTAATAGTCTGTAAACATGGCTGCTGTCAATAAGCAGGAAGCTGAACAGGAGTAGAAACAGCTGTGATTTTTCCTCTTACTCTTTGTAGTTTTTTTTAGATTTTTAGTCAAACTCTTTAACTAAAATGTTAATCTGGAGCTAAATTAATCTTCATGGATTCAAACACTTTGCATGCATTCAGCCCACACCTGCCACTGTGTTATATGGCTATACATAGTTGTCAGAATTTTTGTTGATTGGCCAAAAGAAGCCATTTACATTTCACCGCAGCGTGTCTGTACTGTTTCTGCTCTGTGATTTACATCATATCTTTACTGGGTTCCATTTTTACCCCATGGCAGATTATGCTCCTCTTTGTATCACATAATTATGCCCAAACGAATACGTGCGTGTGGGCATGTGCATTGTTTCTGTGTGTTTCAGAGTAAGCGTTTGGCTCGTAGAAAAAAACCCCGAACAATTTAAAAAAGAGAAAAAGATAACGTAAATGTCCACGCAAGTTTGACAAACTGTAAGTGATTGTTTGTGTGTGGGTGTGCATTTCTGTGTGTGTGTGTGTGCGCGTGCGCTGTGCTTATTGCCTGTGGTGACTGTCAGGTAGGATACAAAGAGACAGTCATGACAGCATTACTGTTGCCAGGGTGACCACCCACTCGCTGCACTCGTCTGGCTGTCACAGCGATGATGTGCTAAGCTGTCACACGCTTAAAGGAAGTGATGTCATCACTGTGTAAAGCCAACCGATTGCCCCGTCGTCCTCCCTCAGCAGCAGAGGCTTTAAGAATTTACGAAAACACTCCCACGTCCACGTCAAGTCACCCGAGCGATGAACTTTGACTGCAGAGGTGGTTTATACGTGTAACTGAATTATGTTTTGGTTTGTAGAGCAACCGAAGTTAGATTTTTTTAAAATTTGGAAGCAAACTTGCAGCTTCAAATTAATAGAAAATTGAGTTTAAAGATGTCTAATACCGCTGCTCGTCAAACCTCTCTCCATGCATTTCCACATCCAGAGAAAACACAAGTGGGAAGAGCTACCAGTTTCTGTTGCCCTCATGTCTTTTATGAAGAGTTGTCCGGGACTACTTCTCCGACCTGAGTCGAACCAGTCAGAGCAGAATGATTGACAGCATCCTCAGCCAGCAGGAGGACGAGCGTTATCCTGAGGTTATTATGTAAGAGCAGGACTGCAACGCTGGCAATTCTTTCGCTAAGAGGAGGATCAGGCGTGCACAGTCTCTTGAGAGAGAGAAAAAGATAGAACCAACTAGAGATGGTTTTTACAGAAAAACAGAGGCAGAGATAATAATGTGAGGGATGTGTGTAGTAGATCGTGACCATGAGGGCTGCACTGCACGGCACGTGTGTTGTGATAATTGATTTTTAATGAAGTGAGGATCTCTTGTGTATTTCCAAGGCTGGCCCTTTCTCCAAATAGAGTTCTAATTATCTACATTGCATATTGCATGAAAAGCAGCAGCCTTGCGCCAATATCTTTGTGATACTTTGCTCTAAAGCGTATTAGTACTCTCACAATACGTGGTACAACGCTGAGAATAAACAAGCTAATTAAAAGCATGGCTTTCCTGTTTTATTCGGACAATGCAACTGCAAGCTAAAGCCACTAGATGTTGCTGTACATGTTTAGATTCTGTGTTTGAGCGTGTGCTGCCAAAGGGGCAGACTGGACATGCATGTTTCATACATTCGGCCTGCAGCGTGGTTTGACAGCAAAAACACACCCAGTGACATACCGTATCACACAGCTACACAATCCAACTCGCTGGAGGTTGGCGTTTTAGTGTCACAGTTTAAAGAACGGTTGAAATCACTTTCTATCGTAACTTTTGCCGTAGTCAGCCCCTTCAGAAATTCAAACACAACTCCCACTGACGTCTCTGGGGTTGACTTGACGGGATGAATGTGGGCGATATCTTCGCTTCGTTAAAAAGTATAGCTTCTTCCCAGTTAACTAGATATCTTCTGGGAAAATGAAGGAGATCGTCATTTTACCCCCCACCACCCCCCACCCCTTGTTAAATCTCAACAACTCTGGAACTGATCTTAGATGCCTATATGCTGAGAGTTATGCTATCAGTGTTCGGCATCCTCGTCACTTCAGTCTGTTTGACTTTTTCACTTGTCTCCGAGTGTTCTGCCTCGCTATAAGTGCCTGTGTGACTGGGAAATCATTTCAGTATCTGTATTTCATGATCTATTTCCATCTCTCAGACAAACTCTGCTGCAGTCTCGCAGAGCTTAGAGAGGAACAAGCGCTGCTTCTCTCTCTGTCGATGATGAAAAACATCGAGAAAACTTCTGGTGGCGTGATTGTCGAGTGGGTTAATGCACACTGCTGGGAATAGCTTATAGCTGTGCTGCTTGGGTTGTCTCCCCTGTGTCTCCTGTCATGTTTCCACATCACACTGTCCCATTAAAATCAATGTAGCACTGCCACTGTGTGTGGATTCAAACGGACGTCTGCTGTGTGCTGTTTTACTTTCCTTCTGTGAAACAACTTGTTCTGAAGAGCGGTGGACTCATCCTTTCTTAAAGAAACATATAAAGTGAAATGCACTTAACTCACGTTATACTTCTTGTGTCTCAGATATCAATGCACAGTATTGCATTGTTTGTGGAGGGTTTTTTTTTTTGAGGCTGATAAAACACAAAGTGCAGCTTGGCATCCTTGTGTCACATCATTTTTCAGGATTCTCACAAAAAAAGCAAGCGTTGCTACTTAATATATGCGCTGCTAATATTTTTGACTGGCAAGCAACACATTAAGGACATTGTATTCTTTACATTTGACCAGTGTTGAAACAC